CGGAATGTGTGATCTTTTGAAGGAATGGCAAGGGAGGCAGTGTGGCTGGGGCAGAATGAGGGAAAGAGGTCTCATAGGTCCTGGAGACCCAATTATGTAAGGTCTTGTGAGGCCAGCGGAAGGACTTTGGATGTAGTTCTCAGTGTGAGGGGAAGGGATCTGGATATAATTTTCAGTATGTTGGGAAGGCATTGGAGGCTTCTGAACAGGAGAATTGTGTGACTGGAGATGTATTTTTAAGTGATCATTTTGGCTTGAGAAACCAGACTTAGGGACAAGGACAAAGCAGGCAGATGAATTAGGAGACAATTACATTAGTCTCCCCCATACTTTTCCTAACATATTGGAGTTCAGCTCTGACTGTAGTAGTTCTAGATCTCATCAGACACACTTGCGCAGAGCTTATCTTGGGTATTTGGGGTATATAGATGATTCATGTTGGTTATACAGATGGGTTAGATGATTGCAGACAGAAGAGGGCTGTCTGGGAACCATTCCTAAACAGGGAAGCATTCCTTGAGATAGAGGAGAGGAAGCCTGAAGGGGAGGAAGAGAGTACCTGTTGCTATCTAGACGGAGGCATCTAGCAGGAAGTTGGATACAGGTATCTGAACCTCTAGTGAAAATTATGGGCAGGCAATAAGCACCTGGGAGTTAGTAGCTTACACTTCACAGTTGAATCCATGGGACTAGAGGAGAAAAACCAGGGAAAGTATGGAGACTAAGACAACCAAGAACATGCACTCAAGATGACCAAAATTAAAAAGCGATCTGAGAAAAGTAATGAGGAAGTCAGAGATTGGGAAAGAATAGAGCATTTCAATGAGGAGAGTTGCCACCACTGTTACATTTGCCCCTGAGTGGTCAAATGAGATGAGGTCTGAAAAGAGCCCAAGCCTTGACCATGGTGGGACGCCACCAGTGACCTTTGTCAGTAGAGAGGTGGGGGCGGGAGGCTGGGATTGAAGGCTGCAATTGCTACTTACTCTTTCAGGGAGTTTGACTCCAAGGGAAAGAGAAACTAAAAGCAGTAGCAGAGGGCTTGTGTTTGAAGTAACTGTGGTGAACCAGGCGAACAGCCTGGAGGCCAAGTGAAGTGAGACTGGACACTACAGATTTATAATGTCGCCAGTCTGCACAATTCAATAATTTCCCCCAAAAGTGCTCAATTGCCCAATTGTAAGAACAGATATATAGACCAAAAGTAGAGTGTCCCCAGGGTAAATTCTATAAAGACAAAGGGGTATGTTTATTGAAGTTGTATGTTGCACTGTCCAATATAATAACCACTAGTCGTATGTGACTATTTAAATTTCAATTAATTAAAATTAAATAAGATTTAAAAATTCAGTTTCTCAGTCATACTAACTACGTTATCAATTGCTCAGTAGCCACAGGGGCTGGTGGCTATCATATATTCAGCACAGAGATAGAGCATTTTCATTATCACTAAGAGTTCTTGTGGCAAACACTGCACTATAGGGTCTACACTGGATAAATCTGAGGTCTTGATGAAGTTGAACAACAGATGTAGGAGTAAGCAAGAGTAAAACCTGGGTGAATAGGAGGTTGTAGACAGAGAGGAGCATATTGAGATTAAGATTCTAGGGACTGAGTTGCTCCAGGCGAAAAGGTTCAGGGTTATATTATAAGAGGGTAGGGGCAGCTGCTGAAATAGTCAGTGGGTGAAGACCTGTGGAATTCACAAAATAAAAGAAATTGGAGACAAGGTTGTTAGACTCATTCATGAAGAAGTCACCCAAATTGTTGGCAAGACCTTGCATCTAATGCTGAAATCCTCACTGAGCAGGGGGGTAGTGATTTATAACTAACAGCAATGAAAGAGGCAGACACCTCAAAAGGGGAGGGTGTTGCTCAAAGTCCCCATGACATGTGATAAAACAAACAGTAGCTGGGAGGGGCAAGTGGCTTCTTTTGGGTAGAGGCAGATTTCACTGAAATAATAACCTCAGGGGAAACAGTCAATGAAGAGGTTAAAGATGTGGGAGAATTTCCTTGTAGCAATTAATGGAATGAGGCTTCCAGAAGGCCAAGTAAACTTTGGAGGAAGTTTAGTAAAAGAAGGGAAATTTTTGAGTACAGATAAGAATAGGAATATAAAGAAGAAATAATTCTTAAATATGTAAGGTATGCATTTGGCGATAGTAGCCAGGGAAGACCGAAGTCCCAGTAGGGTCAGAGACTTCATAAGGTTAGCAAACTATGGTTTTTGAGTGGTATTCCAACAGTAGAGTATACTAATCAGGAAGTTCTTAATTATACTTTGAAACAAACTCTTTCAGCTGATTAGGAAGGTCTAGCTGGATTCTTGGGTGCCATTTTCCTGACATCATAGCAATCCATTGTAGCTAGACTTCAATCATTCCTCTTACTGAAGTGCTGGGGAAGGGAGACATTCTCAATGCTTACCCACCTATGGAGTCCCAGTGAGTCCAGTTGCTGCACAGCTTGAGGTCTGGGGTCATAAAAGGGAAGGTCTGAAGACACTTGGTGAACACAGACCTTGAGCCAAACTTTCCCCATTTAGTCAGAGAGAGGATTAGCAGCATCCCACATGCCTAGCTCTGTGTGAGATCACGGGAGCCAGTGGTTGGTGAGGTGCTATAGAGTATAAATTGCAAAATACTTTCAGTTCCACTCAGAATGGATTTCAGAGTGATTTCCACCCCACGGGGAGGAGAGGAAGTCTGGGGAGGGATGGATTGAGAAAATTTTTTTCTGTTATTTTCTGTGATCCACTCTGGAGACAGAGGCAGAGATTCTCTACAGCAGCTGCTCAAACTACAGCTTTTGTTAAAATGCAGGTTTTGAATCAGTAGGCCTTGGGTGGGACCAGAGATTCTGTGTTTCGGACCAGCCCACCGGCAATGTGAATCTCACTGGTCCATACGTCATGCTTTCAGTTGGTAGGTGAAAAAGGGAGCACTCGATGAGTGGAAGAGAAAGCCCTTGTAATCTTTGGGAAAAGGGGCCTGGGTCAATGGAGTTGGACTGGCCTGTGAGTGGAAAGAGTGGATGGGAAGGAAAGAAGATACTGTGAGGCTCTACAGAAAAAAAGAAAATAAATAAAATAAAATGTAAATCAAGAAGACAGAAGAAGCTAAAGACGAAGTCATTTCCAGATTCGGAAGGCACAAGTAACAGCTGAGTAATAACATAACATTGACTGTTAATTGGCAGCATTTTCAACTGTATGTTTAGTTTCTGCATGAGGTCATCTGTCCTCTATAATACGGCAAGTTAGACCAAAACCGGCGTTTCCCAGAGACAATGCTAGAAGCTTTAACAGTAGGTGGCACTCTTGCGTTACATTAAGAGCTCAGCAAAGAAGACACAGAAACCTCAGGTTTGCCTTGTAACAACACACTAAATGTTCCTTAGGTCTCCCTTTCACTGTCAGGGTACCCATATAGATTTTCCCCTCTCCCTCCAATATAGGTATGCATCCTCTACAGATAGTGCATTTAATTCTTCAAGTGCTTCACGGAGTCCTAGTGAGTGTAATGCTGTAGGCAGTGATTCAGATTTTATGCAAATTCCCACGGATGCCTGCTGTCTGCTTCCCTTGGAGTTCAAGACCACCACCAACCCTTCGATTATGTGTTCTAACTGGGCCACTCTGTACACAGTTCAGTTTGATAAGTGCATTGTTATTTGATAAGTTACTGTTACTTGTTCGTCTCTTCCCTATTTCAAGAGAAACCACATCAATTTAATTACTCCCACACCAAGAACTCTTCAAACGAAACTCCTCTCATCTCTCATCAACCCATCTCCTCCCTTTCTTCCTCAGTGTCAACATCCCTTCACATAAATCCTGAATGATGAGACTTATTTAGAACTTACACTAACTTCCTCTCCAAGATGACATCTAACTTCATATTAAGTAAGAAACAGTCTTCCCACTCTCCACCCCCATACTTCTCACCCCCCACTGCTTGCTTTTTTTTTGCCAAGTCTCAAGTAATTCTGTAACCTAGAAAAGGTCCTACACAAACCCTGTGATCAATCACATTTAAGGAGTTGGGTGGCCCACATTCTTCCCATAAACCCCAAAGTGCCCTCAAGGACTAAAGCCTTTCTCTGAACTTTTCCAGCATGAGGCCCGTGGTTGTAAAAATTGTCCAGGGTCAGTGCATCCTGGGAGCAAAAAGTTTGTGGTGCCTGGGGTTTCCGCAACACTCCCGAAGCACATCCTCACCTGCTCATCTATGACTCACTTCCAGCATTTCACTCATGTGCCTTCAATGGTCATTGACCACCACAGTCCAAAAACAAGCATCAAATGTTCCCAGTTCTCTTTCTGATCTCTGAAAGAGCTTAGAGAGGTCACTGAGAATAGAGGCCTTGGTTCACTATAGAAGTCATTTCTAAACCATTTGATATCCTTGGGAGTGCTGGCCATGGGAGCAGTAGTGATGGGGGAAGTTCTGTAAAGGGAATTATTTGAATTTCAAAGATGTTACTCAATGTGATCCTACAACTAATGAAGTATAATAAAAGGGAGGCTATAATTTATTATCATTATTAGCAATCTTTCCACCATAGCAGACCAACGAATAAGTGGATGGGGAGGGGAGGGCTACAATGATGAGAATCACAATTCAGGTTATAGAAAGGTAACTGGTGGGTGGATGGGTTGTCTGGTTTCCCCTGTCCTGGGATTTAAATTCACAGAACCACAGTACTAGAGAGACCCTTAGAACATTTAGTCAACCACTTCATTAATCAGATGAGGAAACTGAGGCTCATAATTGCGGTTTGTACAAGGCCATACATTTAGTCATCAGTGAAGCAAGGGTAAAAAAAACGAATCTCCAGATGCCTGAAATGTGTGCACAGTTCCAGAGCTTAATATCTAGTTCTTCAGGATTACTAGTGATAAGATAGTATCTGGGTATTGTATAAAGAGAAATGGAGGGTTTTTTTTCCCCTTTCCTCTTGTTTCTCCCTTCCTAATCCTTAACCTTCCTTTTTAGGTGTTGATTCCCTGAAGATTCACGCTTATTTCAATGAGACTGCAGACCTGCCATGCCAGTTTGCAAACTCTCAAAACCTAAGCCTGAGTGAGCTAGTAGCATTTTGGCAGAACCAGGAAAACTTGGTTCTGAATGAGGTATACTTAGGAAAAGAGAAATTTGACAGCGTTCATTCCAGGTATATGGGCCGCACAAGTTTTGATCCGGACAGTTGGACCCTGAGACTTCACAACCTTCAGATCACGGACAAGGGCTTATATCGATGTATCATTCATCACAAAAAACCCACAGGAATGATTCGCATCCACCAGATGAATTCCGACCTGTTAGTGCTTGGTACGTGGTCAATGGTGTGTGTTCAGATTCTTAGCCTTCTAAGATGAGATTGCAAATGACTTAGAGAAACACTGGAGGGGGATTTGAGGGGCCCAGGGGAAAAGGGGGTCTCTAGCGAGAAAGCAGAGAACAGCCATTTCTGGGAAGTCCATTTGAAGGGAGTCTGGGAGTAGGGAACTGAAAGTCTTTTGCACTTTTTATAGTCTGCTTCTGAAGGATCAGTAAAAATCTGCTTTGGGGAAAGAAATAGAGCGAATTGAACAAAGGTTATATGGTTTTGGTTCACTATTGAAGTCATTTACTTCATGGTAAAAACCACAGTTAATTTGGCCATTACAGAATGTATATAACCATACTCAGATCTTTTACATTCATTTTTCCCTTGGGTCCGAGATTTTTTCACCTACTAAATCTTTGCCTGGAGGTTCTAGCAAAGGGGACAGCTGACACATTTGGATTTTCCCTTCAGCCTCCTCTAGATTGCTTAGGAGTTGTTTGCTGCCACAACCATGAGCCTGGTAGACAGAAAGGAAACAACTCAACAAACATAACCCACAAACTTACAAACCCGTTCCTCCACGTCAGCAGACCTTGGAAGGCCTAAATGTCACTACAGATTTTTTTTAAACTATCACACAGTAAAATTATTTTTTTTTGTTTTGGTATACTGTTCTACTGATTTTCTAGATCATATATAGATTTAGCTAACAGCCACAGGACATACAGCATTTCTATCACCCTAAAAATTTCCCTCAGGTTATCCCTTTATAGAGTCATACTCTGTCTGCACTCATAACCCTTGTTGGGCATCCTATAGTTTTGTGTTTTTGACAGTGTCACACAAGTGGAGCCACAGAGTATGTAATCTTTCAAGACTGGCTTCTTTTGCTTAGCATGCCTCTGAGGTTCATCCAAGTTATCGCACATATCAAGCTTGTCCCTTTTTATTGCTGAGTAGTATTTTATTGTTTAACCATTCAACTCAGTGAAAGACACTGGGTCGTTTCTGAGTAGAGCTGCTGTAAACATTTGTGTACAGGTTTTTGTGTGAATATAAGTTCTCATTTCTCTAGGGGAAATACCCAGGTGTGGTATTACTGGATCCAGGTTAATTTTTGATGAAACTTGAAAAGGCAGATCAACACCTATTCTAAAACCATAGAGTAAAACAGAAGCAAAAATAGAGATAGAATGGAGAGCTGCTCCCTTTGAACCCTGTGTGATTCAAAGTAGGCTGCAAGGCTTTAGGAACAGTTAACCAAGTGCTAAATCCGTGTTTGCAAAATGTGGTCAGGGACCATTGGAAATGTTTTAGAAGGGACACTTTCGTAAGCATGTTGAAAGCCATGTCATATTGGTTTTAATGTATATTAGAAAAACTATAACTTAACCAACCTGTGGTATCACAGATGTCTTTAATAAAGCTGAATAAGATCTGGCAATTCACCTTCTATAGATCGTGTCAAGTCTAAGAAGAGTGCTCAGATACTACACTGATATAGCAAAACTTACAAAGACGACATGCAAATGGCAGCCCTTTTAGCGAGAATACACTAAATTATAAATTCGTTTGTAGAACCTGCAAACTACCTAGTCATATAGAAGAGCAAGAGATTTTTTTCTAACAGAAGGCACACGACACAGGTCTAAGGGCTCCATGCCAGTGATCCTGAACATCCAGAAAAGCACGAATGGCAAACAAAGGCAAGAGAAACACTGTGTTTATCAAAATCGTGTATTTTTCCCTAAAATAGCTGGAGTTGGCGCTCATCTTAGAGTATGTTATGAAGACACTTCGATGCTCATGCCAAAAATCAGTGTTCTGAATTTCTAATTCCAAAAATCCCCAACCATTCACTTACCACAGTCCTGCTTGAATTTCTGAAAGATATGACCCACGGCATGCCAACATGAGCTCTGTCAGTTCCTGGTGACAATTCAGCTCAATCCCTTTCTGCTCTCTTAATCTGGTGAGCTGGAATGTGCCTCATGGGACACCTGGGCCTTAGAGTCAGACCACTTTTCCTTCCAAAGACTCTACTCCCTGGAAATAGTGGCTTCATTATAAATCTTTGGTGACTCAATTATGTCCCTCCTATCACTTAGAGAGCACCCCCTTGATTTGGATAAGCAAGAAGTAAGCATGGCCCCAAACTCTATTGTTGAAAAATAATCATGAAGTCATTACGTGGCACTCACCTTGGGCTGTAGGCCACATTTTAGACACCTTGAGGCTCCCAGGTGTGCCCCAATGAGCCCCAGATGGAGTACCCAGTTATTTGCTATTCCCTCCTAGATATATCTAAACTTAGACTGATTTTTTTTAATCTCTCTTTTTTTTCAGCTAACTTCAGTCAACCTGAAATAGTCCCAATTTCTAACATAACAGAAAATTTGTACATAAATTTGACCTGTTCATCTATACACGGTTACCCAGAACCTGAGAAGATGAGTTTTCTGCTAATAACCAAGAATTCAACTACCGAGTATGATGGTGTCATACAGAAATCTCAAGATAATGTCACAGAACTGTATGATGTTTCCATCAGCCTGTCTGTTTCATTCCCTGATGTCACAAGCAATATGACCATCTTCTGTGTTCTGCAAACTAAGAAGACCCAGCTTTTATCCTCACCTTTCTCTATAGGTAAAGCTGCTTTCCAAGACTATTTCTTTCAGCAGGTATTATACACAAATGCTTAAGGCAGATCATCTGATGTCCCTGACTTTCTAAGAAACCTCCAACTGGGCCATTTTATGATGCTGTTAGGAAGGACCCAGATGGAGGGCTTCTGCTTCACCCTGAGTAATGCAGGGTCCAGGAAGCTACGAGCCTATGCTGCACTTGAAGAAATATGCTTTCAGCCCTAAAACTGACTCAGTCTCTTGGTTTACCTTTGATGGAGGATCAAAGGTAAAAAAACCTCATCAACCTTTGATGAAGTTTTGATTTAAAAATGCAGGATTCCTCTGGCTAGAATTCTTTCTTTGATTAAAACACATACGTGGGCTTGCATGTGCATGCACATCCGTGCACACACACACACACACGCCATGCATATAAGCATACATACAAATGGTACTTATTGTGAGTATAGAACCATTTGGGACATTATTGGTTGCAGGAGTGAAAATGAAAATATATAAGACATTTCCTCTGCCCTTGAGGATCTTTAAATAGAATCAGAACTCTGTAATGTGCACATATGAAAACTGGATTTTTAAAAGTTCGAATTTGAATCTAAATTTTATTCCATGCATATATGTGACTAAACTTAAAACAAAAGTAACCGATAATGAGTTTCATGGGCATTCAGAGGTGGGCAAGATCCCTGAGGGTCAGGGAAGGTTTCCTAAGGGAAGGGGCAACTTGTAACACATAAAATAGATTACTGAGTTTAATAAATGTGGTGAGGAAAGGAAGGCATTCTGGATAACAGTTTCCCAAAACTGTGGTAACTTTATTAGCAGAAAAAATTTGAGATAGTGCCTGGGCTCAGAAGGTGAGAGGGCCACGATGGATCAGCCTCAGAGGCAGAAACGCAGCATGTGCTTCAGGGACCAGTTCAGTGGAGGAAAGGGCTGAAAGCAAACAGTAGCCACTAATAGGGCCTGACATTTTAAAGTTGTGCCTTTGCCCAGGAGGGCATGTGCCTATATTTGAGACTCCTCTTTTAAGAAGCTGTAAATGTAAGATTTCCTCCTAGAAGAAAGGTGGTCTGCACCTATCCTGTCCCATCACTGCCTGTGCTGACCTTGACCCCCCACATCTGCCTTCTTCTTGCCTTGATACCTTCTCCAGCGATGACTCCTGGCTTGCCCCCTCTAGTAACATCCATCCAACTCCTTGCTCCATCCCCTGGCCTCCTCTCTCTGAGTGTCTTGTTCAGATGTAACTTGATCTATGAACAGCCCCTGAGGCCAGTCCCCACGAACCAACTTTACAACTGGGCCAATCTTATCTCCTGGTACTGACTTCCTTCCACTCAGACACTTCAGCCTCTGAGAGTCCAGTAAATGGTGGAACTACCTGTCCTGTCCCAGTTGCTTCTCCTGTAGTTTTTCTTGGCCAGATAGAAGCCTCTCCAGGCTATGCCTGAAGTTTAGTACCTTCCTGTGTGACATCCCCCAGGGCCCTCTGTTATGGCTCCTGTAACAGGGGCTTGCCACCACTATAACCTAATTATGGCTCACCTTCCTGCTGCTTCTCAACTACTGTTCCGCCAAAACTTCCGCAGGTACCACCATCTTCAGAAATGTTTCAGCTCTAGCTGCCTCAGGAAGATGGGACTTGCCTCTCTGGGTTTCCCATTCTATCACTTAATCAGAGATAGGTTAGACCCTGAGTCAAGGGACTTTTCTGCATGTTAGAAGGTAGCAGCCTCCATAGTAAGTATAACCCCGCACCCGCTTTACTGGGCATGCCAAACTGGCTCAAGCGGGACAGACTGGGACAGACTCAAAAGAGATTAAATGTGGCCTGCAATGTCCTTGACTCTTTAATGTCACAGAAACAGGGCATGTGTCCACAAATTATAGCTAAGCTAACAGATTAGCTCGTCCTAATTTTCCTGAAATTGGGGATTAGCTACCAGAACTGTTCCCAAAAATGTCTTTAAATGGGTGATTCAGTTCTGAGTTTTTCCCCATAAAGCCTGTTTTCCAACTCCCCAGAAACAGGAGTTCTCATGTAAGGAAGTAGGTCCTGACCTCCAGGCAGCTGATTCCTACCCTGATTCCTCAAGGCGTGAAGAAACATCAGAGGTTTTTTAGTAGATGAGATATGCTGAAAGCCATGCAAAACAAACAAACAAACAAACAAACAAACCTGCTGTGACCTCAGTGGGAAAAAAACTAAACAAACAATCAAACAAAAACTGGAGGTAGGGGCCTGTGTGGAGGCTGTTCCATTTGTCCAAGTGAGAGGTGTCTGGAGATGATAGTGGACAGAAGAATCATCACGAGAGGAACTGCAGGGTCTGGGGACTAACTACAGAGGGGGCAGGGTAGCAGGCATGCCAAAGACGACTGCACATGCAGAGCCTCAGCACAGACACCTCACCCAGATTCCAGAATCATGGGCCAGGTTGACCCTCTTCTTCCCCATCATGGTAGGTGTTATCCCCACCTCTAGGAAGGCATGGCAGCTCAGTCCAGGCATTTGGCTAGAGGCAGGGCTTGAATCTTAGGTTGCTGCTGAGGCCCTGAGTCTGAGACTTACTATGGCCTCTTATTGTGGATTTCAAACTTCTCTGGCCTTAGAGTCCCAGGAAGATGCTGGCAAGTAAATCAAGAGAAGAGCAGCTAGCAGAAACCTTTTGTAAATGACTCTCCTGGCTGACTGAAAATTTGTGGTCATTTTTAGAGATTGAGGACCTTCAGCCTCCCCCAGACCGTATCCCTTGGATTGCAGCTGTACTTCTAGCAATAATTATATGTGTGATGATGGTATTCTGTCTACTAAATCTTTGGAAATGGAAGAAGAAGCAGCAGCCTTGCATATCTTGTGAATGTGGTGAGTCAGTCCTTGTCCTCCCCACAGACTGCCACTTTGCACCTACTTCCCAGTCGGCTGCCTTTTGGAGCTTATTGGCTGAGCCTAGACTGGCAAAAAGTCAATGTCGGAAGAAAAGGTTTTCCCACAGAGTTTTGAGCCCATGCAGAGTAGCAGCAGCTGATAATGTTGCTCTTGAACTTCAAAGAAAAGCAACATTCTAACCTCAGGTTTACCAATATACTTCTGGTTTCCAGGGAGAACTGATTATTACTTGCTTTATCTACCTCACTTCATGAGGCTATTGTGACATATACATAAAGCAAAATGGTGAGGCCACTCCTAAATGTTAAAGATTGTGGACCTGGTGGTGTTCCAGCAGGGATATTTGCTAAATGTCCACAAGGATCAGCTTCTCATCACTAAAAAAATCTAGGTTTCCTATGAAATATGTTAGATGGATTATTGCCCATTGACCTATAATAAACAATATTAACTTTTACTAATTTCCTTAATACATATCCATTATCATATATACCAAAATAAAATCATCAATATTTTAATAGTAAGAAAAGATGCTTACACAAACATTTGTCATGCCTATCTTTAAGATTTTTCTATATACCAATCTATGTTGTTTTCCATAATTAGGATTATCATAAGGGCTATTTTTCACAATTTGGATAATATATGTACTGTGTTCTAACTTTGTTATACTAAATGTAGCAAGACAATTTTCATTGTCATATATATCATTCTACAGCATCATTTTAAATGGCTGCAAGATATTCCATTATGTGGATACACCTTTATTTATTTGTTTATTTATTTATTTATGGACGCTTGAGCTGGTCCAGTAATTTTCTTATTATAAATATCCTTCCCACTGAATTCTGTTATAAAAATGTTTAATGGGGACAAAATCACCCCTAACTTTATAATAATGCCATGCCTATTTGTAGTTTGGGCTGGTTCTAAGATAAGACTGGACTTTATCTCAGTAATTGCCTCAAGTAGTAATTAGTTTGATTGGTACTAATAATTAAGGTAACCTTCTTACTCACTCACGGTAGAAAGCACAAGATGAGTATTGCCTCTGGCTGTATCTTGTTTTTCAGTATGCTGATTTAAAAATCTATCTAGAAGATAGATGGGTAACATTAGCAGTCATTCAATGTATCCTGCTGTATTTTAAAAATATGAAATTGGGGAGCAATGATCAAACTTAAATAAATTAATACAAAGCATGTGGCAGAGCCATTCAAACTGCCAATGAATGGTGTGTGCTGAGAGATTTCATGATATAAAAGCATAAAATTCATACCACAGATATAAAGACATATTGTGCTTGTCCAGGCTTTGATTTTCAAGGTACGAGTTTTGAGCTTCACTTTCTTTCAATCTCATTGCCATTTAGAATTAGTCAAATATGAAGAAGCAACTTACATCTTGGGAATAAGCTGTTTCCTAAATTTTCCTTCACAGTAGAATGATCAGCTTACAAATGAAACAAAGAAGGGATAGAGAAAAAGAGTAAGGATATTTCTTCCCCCATGAGGCAATCAGAAACAAATCAGGAGACTAGAAAGGGGAATTAAAGAGGATATGTGTATTCACTTGAGAGAAGTTATAAGGTGGTTAAATAAGCTGTGTGGGTGCAGATGAGATGGTCAGATTGGGCTGGGTGGTAAAAGGCAGAAGGAAAAACAGAATAGCACATATATGACCCCCAAGAATATAATAAAGAACATTGATAAGAAAAAGTTATTTGTTCAGGCAATCATCCATCCCAGTGAGTCTGATCAAAGAGAGAAACCTTGCTATCACTGGAGGGAGGGAAATACACCAGGCATAACTATGCCATTATAGATATGAGATATTTGTAAATTTGGATTCTGTAACTTCAGCAATATCTACCCTTGGTTTGTGGGCACTCCTGGCGTTGGCTATGTAACAGGCAAAATAATGCACCCCACAAGATGTTCTCCTCCTATACTCCAGAACCTTTAATATGTTATCTAACATGGCAAAATAACTTCACATAGGTGATTAAGGCACCGAACTTGAGATGGTGAGATTCGCCTGGATTATTCAGGTGCGCCCAGTGTAATCACATGAGTCAGAGAATCTTTCCCAGCTGGGATAGAGAAATGAACTGGAAGAAGGAGGAGAGATCTAAAGCTTGAAAGGCTCAATCCAGCATTGCTACATTTGCAGATGGAAGAAGGAGGCCATGAGCCAAAGAATGTAGGTAGCCTGTAGAAGCTGGAAGTGGCTCTCAGTTGACAACCAGCCGTTAAAGAAATTAGGATCTCAGTTCTGCAACTACAAGGAACTGAAATCTGCAGAGACTGATGTGGAAACAGCAGATCCCTCCACAGAGACACAGCTTACCGATAACTGGTAGGAATTTCTACAAAAGTGGAAAGCGGGAAAATAGCAGCATCAAAATAGATAGCCTAGAGAAATTTACATCCCAAGTTGTGTCAGTAGCAAGTCCTTATCAATAGCAACTCAGGCTTTGTGAGGTCTAGCTGGCTAGAAGTTTCCCACTTGGGCTTGTCCCTGCAATGTTGTGTAATATTCTTAGCACCATCTGGCTAATCCATTTAGGTATCAACACCTTCAAGACTTCTTTTCCTCCTCCTTCTAAATCTTGCTTTCAGTAAAGTATTAGAAATTCTTCCAACAACAAAATTATTGCTAAAAAGAAATGTATTATCCCTCCCAGTGTTAATTTTGGTTAGTCAGGATAGAGTTATAAGTAAAAAATCTATTTTCAGTGTAAGAATTTAAGGCACAGTGAGCAAGGGAAGGCATGCGCTTTTTGAATGCAAGGAACTTCTTCCCAATCCTCCTGAAGTTGCATCATTTAAATAACTATCTCTTCCATATATAAAGTCTGGCATGTAGCAAGTGCTCAATAAATGCTTGTTGAAAGAATAATAAATAGAAGTCACAACAATTTCTCTCTGAGTCCCAGAACTTTGAATCCTCTTCAAACTTTCCTTCTTTCGTTATCTGTGGGGAATATATTTTTGAAGATTGTTCTTGGTGTCTTTCAGAACACATCAACATGGAGAGGGGAGAGAGTGAACAGACCCAGGAAAGGTAAATCCTGCCCTTCGACATTGATGAGAGGCATAATCCCCAGAGTGTCTGTTACTTGAATAGGTTTATGCCTAAGGTGTATTGAGACCTCAGCAAACCTGAAGTAATGGAGAGGGAGAGGAAAATAAGACTAGTTAATACTTAGAAGAAAATAATCTGTTAATGGATGACAGGGTATCCAATGCATGATACCCAGAAAGCATGACAAGCTCTGTCATGGTCAAGTAATAGTCAATACAAAAGAGTTCTGAGATGGTGAACATGGAATGCATCTTATCTGCCACGGTAGCCCCAGTACCTAGCAAAGTACCTAGACTAGTATGCATCCTGCATGTGTGGAATGAATAAATGAAGAAGTGGGGAGTGGCAATATGTTCGCTTCAGCCTCAGCATCTTGGTATCTATTATAGCTCTGTTTAGAGTGTCCTCTGACACTTCTTTACTTTATTCTTCATATCTTGCCTCAAGCAGCAGTTTCTTAAAAACGCTGTCCCAAACTAGAAAATGTTCACTTGTTACAGTGTCAGGTGAATCCCTGGGCTTTTTCTTCATAACACCATATTATGCTTACATGTTTGTGTAATTATCTTATTAAACTCTACAAACTAGACTAAACTAAATTCTGTGGAGGGCAGAGACCATACCAGTTAAGCTCATCATTGTGCTGCTAGCACCTAGCATAGCCTGGCATATAGCAGGTGCTCAATAAATGCTTGTTGAAAGAATGAGTGATGCATGAAGAATACATAAAGGTTCATAGTGATCAGTCCTTTCACAACATGAAGCTATCAGATAGTCTGTACTCTATCCCTTCTAAGAAATTAAACTCTCGGTCTTTTGTAGAGACTCTTCAAGATGGCGGGGTAGGAGCAGCTTGGGGTTGCAGCAGCTCAGGATTGCGGCTCTCAGTGAAGGCTCAGAGGGTGAGTTCAAGCCACATTTTCAGACTGATCTTTGTTGCCCACAGAACGGGGGGATTCCCAGGTGGAGGAGAGACACGGAGCGCTGCACGGCTGTTTTGGCTGGCACTGCCGTTGCGGCCGGTGCAGCAGTGCAGTGGTACTCCGCACAAGGCGCACTGGTCTGGATGCCCTGTTAAACCGGCAATCTGAGATTTGGGAGGGCAGATTAGCATATCCATCTGATTGAACGGGACTTGGACAGTGACCCAGACCAGGAGATTCCCGGGAGGCAACATTTGAGCCAGTGCAGTGGGTCGCTGCACGAGAAATCACACGGATCCCGGTCCCCATCAGCTGGCGACTGAAATACCTGGGAGAGAGTCAACCTTTCAACTTAGGAAAGGGAAAAAGAGGGGCTCTGAGGTGGCAAGCCAGGTGACCAGGTTCGGCAGGTCCCACCCCCACAGGGACAAGCAGGGTGGCAATTCCATACACCCAAGGTTGAGAGTTTCACTGCGGATGCAACTGAGCCCAAGACGGCGCAGCTTGGTGGGGGAGGGGCGTCCTCCATTGCCGAGGCAATCTGCCCCTACGGAAGTATACTCCCATTGCTGTTGCAGCCTGCCGTTGCCGAGGCAACCCGCCATAACAGAGAGACTCCGCCAATACAGAGGCAACAGAGCAGAGCACATGACAGCAGGGCGGAGCCCTCAGCAGCAGGGCAAAGCCCAAGGCAACAGAGCAGAGCCCACCACAGTAGGGCGGAGCCAATGCCAACAGGGCGGAGCCTTGGCAGGCAAATAGTGACTAGACTGCCCCCTAGCTGGTCAGGAAAGTGCAACGGATACTCATAAAGAAAGCCCTAATGCCCCGAGACAGAGCATCTGAGGGGAAAAAAAGGTTTTTATGAGTTCTGCTGCAGCAGACTTAAACATACCTGCCTAGCAGCCCTGAATGAATAATGGAGCTCACAGCTCAGCACTCAAGCTCCTATAAAGTACAGACCATTTCCTCAAGCAGCTCCCTGACCCCTGAATATCCAAAGAGTCACCTCAAAAAGGACTGATCAGACTGACATTTGGTGGGCATCATTCTGGGACAAAGATAGCAGAATAAGAAACTGGTAGCATCCCTCACTGTTTTGCAGCTGCTACAGGTGTACCCCAGACAAGCAGGGCCTGGAGTGGACCTCAGCAGTCATACAGCAGAGGGGTTAGACTGTTAGAAGGAAAATTAAGCAACAGAAATACTTCACCATCAACAATCTGGGCATCCACTCAGAGAACCAACCAAAAAGTCAGCAACTACACAGACCACAGGCGGATAAACCCACAAAGATGGGAAGAAACCAGCACAAAAAGGAGGAAAACACCTGAAACCAAAACACCTGGCCTCCTACAAAGGACCAAAACTCCTCGCCAGCAAGGGAACAAAGCTGGTTGGAGAATGAGGGTGATGAAACTACGGAATGAGACTTCAGAAGGTGGATAATGAGAAACTTCCGTGAGCTAAAAGAACATGTTCTAAATCAATGCAAAGAAACTAAGAACCTTGAAAAAAGATTTGAAAAAAAGATTCAAGGAAATGATAACAAGAACGGACAACTTAGAGAGGAATATAAACGAATTGAAGGAGCTGAAAAACACAACACGAGAACTTTGTGAAGCATGCACAAGCTTCAACAGCCGAATTGACCAAGCAGAAGAAAGAATATCAGAAGTCGAAGATCAACTCAATGAAATAAAACAAGAAACCAAAATTAGAGAAAAAAGCGCAAAAAGGAATGAACAAAGTCTCCAAGAAATGTAGGATTATGTGAAGAGACCTAACCTACGTTTGATAGGTGTATCAGAATGTGATGAAGATAATGAATTCAAGCTGGAAAATACTCTTCAGGATATTATCCAGAAAAATTTCCCCAACCTAGCAAGCCAGGCCAATACTCAAGTCCAGAAAATACAGAGAACACCATAAAGATATTCTGCAAGAAGAGCAACCCCAAGGCACATAATCGTCAGATTCAACAGGGTAGAAATGAAGGAGAAAATACTAAGGGCAGCCAGAGAGAAAGGCCTCAAATGGAAGCCCATCAGACTCACAGCAGATCTCTCGGCAGAAACTCTCCAAGCCAGGAGAGAGTGGGGGCCAATATTCAATATCCTTAAAGAAAAGAACTTTCAACCCAGAATTTCATATCCAGCCAAACTGAGCTTCATAAGTGAAGGAAAAATAAAATCCTCTGTGAACAAGCAAGTACTTAGAGATTTTGTCACCACCAGGCCTGCTTTACAAGAACTCCTGAAAGAGGCACTACACATAGAAAGGAACAACCAGTACCAGCCATTCCAAAAACATACCAAATGCTAAAGAGCATCAAAAAAAAGAGAATAATCTGCACCAACTAATGGGCAAAACAGCCAGCTAGCATCAAAATGGCAGTATCGAATTCACACATAACAATATTAACCCTAAATGTAAATGGGCTAAATGCACCAATCAAAAGACACAGACTGGCAAATTGGATAAAAAGCCAAAACCCATCGGTGTGCTGTATCCAGGAAACCCATCTCACATGCAAGGATACACAAAGGCTCAAAATAAAGGGATGGAGGAAGATTTACCAAGCAAATGGAGAGCAAAAAAAAAGCAGGAGTTGCGATTCTCATTTCTGATAAAATAGACTTTAAAGCAACAAAGATTAAAAGAGACAAAGAAGGTCATTACAAAATGGTAAAAGGATCGATACAACGAGAAGAGCTAACGATCCTAAATATATATGGACCCAATACAGGAGCACCCAGATATATAAGGCAAGTTCTCAATGACCTACAAAGAGACTTAGACTCCCACACAATAATAATGGGAGACTTTAACACTCCACTGTCAATATTAGACAGATCAACCAGACAGAAAATTAACAAGGAAATCCAGGACTTGAATTCAGACCTGGAACAAGCAAACCTGATAGACATTTACAGAACTCTCCACCCCAAATCCACAGAATATACATTCTTCTCAACACCACATCACACCTACTCTAAAATTGACCACATAATTGAAAGTAAAGCACTCCTCAGCAAGTGCAAAGCAACTGACATAATAACAAACAGTCTCTCAGACCATAGTGCAATCAAGTTATAACTAAGAATTCAGAAACTAACTCAGAACCGCACATCTTCATGGAAACTGAACGACTGGCTCTTGAATGTTGAATGGATAAAGTATGAAATGAAGGCAGAAATAAAGAAGTTCTTCGAAACCAACGAGAACGAAGACACAACATACCAGAATCTCTGGGACTCATTTAAAGCAGTCTCCAGAAGAAAATATATAGCAATAAGTGCCCATATGAGAAGAGTGGAGAGATCCAAAATTGACACCCTATCATCAAAATTGAAAGAGCTAGAGGAGCACGATAAAAAAAACTCAAAACCTAGCAGAAGGCAAGAAATCACTAAGATCAGAGCTAAACTGAAGGAGATAGAAACACAAAAAACCCTTCAAAAAATTAATAAATCCAAGAGCTTGTTTTTCTAAAAGATCAACAAAATAGACAGACCACTAGCCAGACTGATAAAAAAGAAAAGAGAGAAAAACCAAGTAGATGCAATAAAAAATGATAAAGGGGAAATCACCACTGATTCCACAGAAATTCAAACCATCATCAGAGAATATTACAAACAACTCTATGCACATAAACTAGTACACCTGGAAGAAATGGATAAGTTCCTGGACACCTGTGTCCTCCCAAGCCTAAACCAGGAGGAAGCTGAAACTATGAATAGACCAATAACAAGGTCTGAAGTTGAGGCAGCAATTCAGAGCCTACCACACAAAAAAAGCCCAGGTCCAGATGGGTTCACAGCCAAATTCTACCAGACACACAAAGAGGAGCTGGTACCATTCCTTCTGAAACTATTCCAAATAATCCAAAAAGAGGGAATCCTTCCCAAATCATTTTATGAGACCAACATCATCCTGATACCAAAACCCAGCAGAGACTCAACAAGAAAAAAAAACTTCAGGCAAATATCCATGATGAACATAGATGCAAAAATCTTCAATAAAATACTGGCAAGCCGATTGCAACAGCACATCAAAAAAACTTATCCATCATGATCAAGTAGGATTCATCCCAGGGATGCAAGGCTGGTTCAACATACAGAAGTCTATAAATGTAATTCACCACATAAACAGAACCAAAAACAAAAACCACATGATTATCTCAATTGATGCAGAGAAGGCATTTGACAAAATTCAACCGCCCTTTATGCTAAAAACCCTCAATAAACTCGGTATCGATGGAACGTATCTCAAAGTAATAAAAGCTATTTATGACAAACCAACAGCCAATATCATACTGAATGGGCAAAAACTGGAAGCATTCCCTTTGAAATCTGGCACTAGACAAGGATGCCCTCTTTCACCACTCCTATTGAATATAGTACTGGAAGTTCTAGCCAGAGCAATCAGGCAAGAAAAAGAAATAAAGAGTATTCAAATAGGAAAGGTGGAAGCCAAATTGTCTCTATTTGCAGACGACATGATAGTACACCTAGAAGATCCCATTGCCTCAGGCCAAAAACTCCTGAAACTGATAAACAACTTCAGGAAAGTCTCAGGATATAAAATCAATGTGCAAAATCCACAAGCATTCCTATTTACCAATAAAAGACTTAAAGAGAGCCAAATCAAGAACGAACTGCCATTCACAATTGCTACAAAAAGAATAAAATACCTAGGAATACAACTTAAAAGGAACATAAGAGATCTCTTCAAGGAAAACTACAAACCACTGCCCAACGAAATAAGAGAGGACACAAACAGATGGAGAAACATTCCATGTTCATGGTTAGGAAGAATCAATATCATGAAAATGGCTATACTACCCAAAGTAATTTACAGATTCAATGCTATCCCCATCAAGCTACCATTGACTTTCTTCACAGAACTGGAAAAAACCACCATGAACTTCATATGGAACCAAAAGAGAGCCCACATAGCCAAGTCAATTCTAAGCAAAAAGAACACAGCAGGAGGCATCACGCTACCGGACTTCAAACTATACTACAAGGCTACAGTAATCAAAACAGCATGGTACTGGTACCAAAACAGAGATATAGACCAATGGAACAGAACAGAGGCATCGGAGGCAACACAGCATATCTATAACCATGCAATATTTGATAAACCTGACAAAAACAAGCAATGGGGAAAGGACTCCCTGTTTAATAAATGGTGTTGGGATAACTGGCTAACCATATGCAGAAAGCAGAAACTGGACCCCTTCCTGACACCTTACACTAAAATTAACTCTAGATGGATTAAATACTTAAATATAAGACCTGGCACCATAAAAACCCTAGAAGAAAATGTAGGCAAAACCATTCAGGACATAGGAGTAGGCAAGGACTTCATGAACAAAACACCAAAATCATTGGCAACAAAAGCCAAAATAGACAAAGGGGACCTAATTAAACTCCATAGCTTCTTCACATCAAAAGAAACAGTCACTAGAGTGAATTGGCAACCAATAGAATGGGAAAAAATTTTTGCAGTGTACCCATCAGACAAAGGACTGATATCTAGAATTTACAAAGAACTCAAACAAATTTACAGGAAAAAAAAACCAAACAAGCCCATTTAAAAATGGGCAAAGGATATGAACAGATACTTTTCAAAAGAAGACATACATGAGGCCAACAATCATATGAAAAAATGCTCATCATCACTGGTCATTAGAGAGATGCAAATCAAAACCACATTGAGATACCATCTCATGCCAGTTAGAATGGCGATCATTAAAAAATCTGGAGACAACAGATGCTGGAGAGGATGTGGAGGAATAGGAACACTTTTACACTGTTGGTGGGAGTGTAAATTAATTCAACGATTGTGGAAGACAGTGTGGCGATTCCTCAAGGCCTTAGAAATAGAAATTCCGTTTGACCCAGCAATCCCATAACTGGGTATTTATCCAAAAAACTATAAATCATTCTACTATAAGGACACATGCACACAAATGTTCATTGCAGCACTGTTTACAATAGCAAAGACCTGGAACCAACCTAAATGCCCATCCACGATAGACTGGACAGGAAAAATGTGGCACATATACACCATGGAATATTAAGCAGCAATCAAAAACGATGAGTTTGTGTCCTTTGTAGGGACATGGATGAATTTGGAGAACATCATTCTCAGCAAACTGACACAAGAACAGAAAATGAAATACCGCATGTTCTTGCTCATAGGCGGGTGATGAAAAATGAGAACACATGGACACAGGGAAGGGAGTACTACACACTGGGGTCTACTGGGGGGAATAGGGGAGGGACAGTGTGGGGGGGAAGGGAGGAGGGATAGCCTGGGGAGAAAGGCCAAATGTGGGTGAAGGGAAAGACGGCAGCAAAACACACTGCCATGTGTGTACCTATGCAACTATCTTGCATGAGCTGCACATGTACCCTAAAACCTAAAATGCAATTAAAAAAAAAGAAATTAAACTCTCAAGAATATCAAGGCTCTGACTGCATAGCCATAGGATCAAAGCAACCCTCAGTCACAAGCTGGTTGCAGAGACAGGGTCATAACTCCCAGGGTGCAGACACCACCAAAAGTGTCCAGTACTTATCCTGATATGCCAGCAGCCACTGTGATTCTAGCAACATGACTAATAATGTCAGTCACACTCGGACAATGAGAAAGGGTGTTGAAATCCTGCCTACCCTGTCAGACTTGATTTCAAAAATGGTCTTGAAGAGCCTGTAGAGGGCAGGCAGCAGAGAATCAGCAGAAGGAGTGGGCAGGGCCAGGCAGAAATAACGGATAGTTGTTGAAGCATAGATGACAGTGTAGTGCATGGTTCTTTTCTCTTGCCTTCTCCACCTTTCTCTTCAATAGTTTGTTTCTCCTCATTGCTGTTCCAACGGCCAATCTATTCTGCCCTATCATTGAAATCTAGAAAAAGAAAGTAGCTCAACTGTGAAATCTCATCCAATCTTTTCTTCTATTTTTCCAGTGTAAAAATCCATGTACCTGAAAGATCTGATGAAGCCCAGCATGTTTTTAGAAATTCCAAGACAACTTCATGCGACGAAAGTGATACATGCTTTTAATTAAAGAGTACAGCCCATACAAGTTTTCATTTGTTATACGATTTCATTTGCAAGTTTCTGGGCAACATTTATCATTTCTTCTGGAAAGCAAGAAGACATTACCATTAATAATAAGGGGACAGGATCATTACCCCCAGGACTCCCTCTCAGTGGAATAGCCTCCCTGTAACTCCAGCTGTGCTCCCGTATGCCAAAAGCAGACTTGAATTCTCTCATTGCTTCCTTTCAATGGAGCACTCTTATGAGCCAAGCCCAGCTTAATGGTTCATGGCCTGGAAATAACATTTAGGACCAACACGTCCTCCAGATCAGATTCTTCTCTTAATTTCACAGATGGTGGCTTTTTAAAAATAGAACTCTCGACTTCTGGAAAACTGCATTTTATCTGCCCCAAATTCTAAGCTGGTGCCTCACTGAATCTTGTATACCTGTGACTGAACAGCTACCTCCACAGTCTGGGTGGGAGTTAGGTGTTTATGACCTTATAGTGCTAATACTTTGAAACATAAAGATCCATGTACTGTAATAGTGTGATTACTATGCTCTAGAGAAAAGTCTATCCCTGCTAAGGAGTGCTTGTCCCTCTGTCAGGGTCAGTAACGAAAATGGTAGCCTGGGGTACAGGCAACAATAAGCAGACCAACCTAAATTTGGGGAAATTAGGAGAGGCAGAGATAGAACCTGGAGCCACTTTTTTCTGGGCAGTCACTAATACTGAGGAAGCTTGCCTTGCCCAACAAGCCCTAGTGGAGAGCACTAAATAAACAGGAAAGTGCTGGATCTTGTGAACTCTGTTTCTCTAGAAGAACTGACAAGTGAGATGGCCTGGGGAAGCTGTGAAAGAATCAACAGAGATCACAATACTCAAAAGAGAAAAAAAGAGAGATCTTAATCCACAGAAATGCATGAAATGTCTGGTCTGTCCAGTCCATTAACAAATCTTGAAACAAGCAACAGATGTACAGTCTGTCCAAATGGACTTAAGACAGACAGCAGTTTTCCTGGTGGTCAGGGAGAGGTTTTGGTGATACCCAAGTTATTGGGATGTCATCTTCCTGGAAGCAGAGATGGGGAGGGAAAACCATTGTCTTGATAATGGGATGAGTGGAAGGAGGCTTAGAGCTTTCCACTCCTAGCTGAGAGAAAAAGCTGCAATGGAAATAGAAAGACCAAGATGCAGATCATGTCGGGGCTTCCTTAGCCTAAAGATGTCCTACAGGAATCTGGGCTGGCCCAGAGTAGCAAATTTGAGTTGGATGATTGTTTTTGCTGAAGGCAACCAGAGGAAAACTGTGTACAGAGATGGATATACTGGGAGAAATGACTTTGGAAACCTGGCTCAAAAGTAGGATCAGTAAGGGATGGAGCAGTCCCTGTCCAAACCTAAAGAGAACTCTGGGGGGCCTAAGCCACAAAAATAATTCCTTTATTTTATTTGAACAACCCGCAAGGGTTATAGACTGCTATGCTAGACAAGCTTACCCATGTAGTATTACCATGTGTGTACGGTGCCCCTGCCTTCATTAGATTCCTAGCACCTGGTTGGTTTCTAACATGTTTTATGCAGCACAATTTTTAATAAATGCTTATTACATTTATTTAAAAGTCTACATTTTCTACTTTGGCTTCAAGAGTACTACTCAACCCTTGTGGTCTGATGTTCTCCACTCTGTCCTCTGAATGTACTTCCTTTCTCTTGACATCTCTATAGCTAGAAGACTCTGATGCATCCTATATCTTCTCCTCCTCTATTTCCCCTGCCATTATCTGAGAAAAGAGGTTTGTGTACTTCTATATGTTTATCTCAGTAATGAGTCATCAAAAATCAAGTAAATGGTTGTTTTCAAGGACAACTAAGAAATCTTGAATAGGAAGGGAAGTTTACTTTTGAATTTATAAGCTGTGCTGTGTAATTTTTAAATTTTTAAATATGTGTATTAAAAGCTTTGTAAAAATATTCCTTGAAAACAACCATGAATGTAAAATAAATGCATATACACATTCAGCATGTGACAAAAGCCAGGAAAACTCTGGACAAAAGAAAACGACCTAGATTCTGTGAAGGCAGGAATGTGTTTAATTTGTTACCAATGGACCCCAAGTACCTAAGATACTTGTCTATCCTATTGTTCATCTTTTTGTCTTTTGTTCTATTTCTTAAAGGTTTCCTCAACTTTTCTAACTTCTGCTGTATTTTTATTTGTGCTATAATGTTATTTCCAGAATTCCATTTTTTTCTCTCAAAACATATCTGTTTAAAGATTGAATGACTTATTAACATGCCCTTTGGTAAGAACATCCCTCCTTTGTATATTAAATTCTCTGAACTGCTGTATTCTAAGACTAGGGGAAAGAAAAAAAAGGTCGAAAGAGATCATTAGGCAGAATAGTACTAGCTAACATTATTTCACATTTACCATGTGCTGGTTGCTCATCTAAACCTTTAAATTCATTATATTATCACATTAACCCTGTGTTGTAGGTAATGGAGTATCATGCCCATTATGCTGATGAGAAAAATCTATGCACACAGACGAGTCAGAGTAATTTACCCGACATTGTTAACTTTGTAAGTGGCAGAGCTGGGGAGAATTTTGCAAAGCATCATCCCCTTCACCCTTTTATTTGCTAGCCTTTCTGACTATAGAAGAGACAGAATTTGAGTTGGTTGCAGTTCAAGTGCACTGCACTCTCTCAGACCCACCACTGGTGACTCTAGTGGACCCATCACTGAGATGTCCACAAGTCATTTCAATCTTATATGGCCAGGTGCTAGTAGATAACAAGATACATAAGAAGAAAAGTGAAAATGAGATTTGGGTCAAAGGGAAGTAAGTTGTGTTTATTGCTCCCAACTCCTTTCCTTCAGCCCCACTACTTACTAGTCTTTTGCAATGCCCCTTCCTTCCTTTGCTATTCTGAAGCTGGTTTCATTTAGCCGATGTCCTTATATTTGTTAGCTGATATGGTTTGGCTATGTTCTCATCTTGAATTGTAGTTTCCATAATCCCCATATGTCATGGGAGGAACCCAGTGGGAGGTAACAGAATTACAGGAGTGGTTAACTTCATGCGGTTCTCATGATAGTGAGTTTTCATGAGACGTGATGGTTTTATAAGGGGCTTTTATCCCTTTTGCTTGGCATTTCTCCTTCCTACCATCATGTGAAGAAGAATGTGTTTGCTTCCCCTTCTGCCATGTTTCCTGAGACCTCCACAGCCCTGCTAAACTGTGAGTCGTTAAATCTCCTTCCTTTATAAATAGTCTTGGGTATGTCTTTATTAGCAGCATAAGAAGAAACTAATACAGTAAAGTGGTACTGAGTAATGGGGTGTTGCTGTAAAGATACTAAAAAATGTGGAAGCAACTTTGGTACTCGGGAACAGGCAGAGGTTGGAACAGTTTGGAAAGCTCAGAAGACAGGAAGATGTGGCAAAGTTTGGAATTTCCTAGAGACCCGTTGAATGGCTTTGACCAAAATGCTGATAGTGATATGGACAATGAAATACAGGCTGAGGTGGTCTCAGACAGAGAAGAGGAACTTGTTGGGAACTGGAATAAAGGTGACTCTTGTTATGCTTTAGCAAAGAGACTGGTGGCATTTTGCCCCATCCCTGGAGATTTGTGGAACTTTGAACTTGAGAGACATGATTTAGGGTACCTGGTGGAATAAATTTCTAACCAGCAAAGCATTCAAGATGTCACTTTGGTGCTGTTAAAAGCATTCAATTTTATGCATTCACAGATATATGATTTGGAATTGGAACTTACGTTTAAAAGGGAAGCAGAGCATGAAAGTTTGGAAAATTTGCAGTATGATGACTTGATTTAAAAAAAAATTCTGAGGAGAAATTTAAGCCAGCTACATAAATTTGCATAAGTAACAAGGAGCCAAATGTAATCGCCAAGACAATGGGAAAATGTCTCAAAGGGATATGTCAGAGGTCTTCACAGAGGCTCCTCTCATCCCAGGCCCAGAGGCCCTAGGAGGGAAAAATGGCTTTCTGGGCCAGGCTGCTTTGTGCACTTTTGGGACTTGGTGCCCTGAATCATAGCCAGGGCTAAAAGAGGCCAAGGTGTGGTTCAAGCCATGGCTTCAAAGGGTACAAGCCCCAAGCCTTGGCAGCTTCCACATGGTGAACATGCAGATGCACAGAAGTCAAGAACTGAGTTTTGGGAACCTCCCATAGATTTCAGAGGATGTATGGGAACACCTGGACGTGCAGGCAGAAGTTTGCTGCAGGGGCAGAGCCCTCAGAGAGAACCTCTGAAAGGGCAATACGGAAGGGAAATGTGGGGTTGGAGCCCCAACACAGAGTCCTCACTGGGGCACTGCCAACTGAAGCTATGAGAAGAGGGCCACCATTCTCCAGACCCCAGAATTGTAGGTCCACTGACAACTTGAACCATGCACCTGGAAAAGTCACAGATACTCAATGCCAACCTGTGAAGGAAGCCAGGGGGGTTGCTGTACCCTGCAAAGCCCAAGGCTATGGGAGCCAACCTCTTCCATCAGTGTGACCTGGATGTGAGACACAGAGTCAAAGAGATCATTTTGGAGCTTTAAGATTCCACTGCCCCACTGGAATTTGGACTTGCATGAAGGCCTATTGCCCCTTCGTTTTGGTGAATTTCTCTCATTTGGAATGGGTGTATTTACCCAATACCTGTACCCCCACTGTATCTAGGAAGTAACTAACTTGCTTTTGATTTTACAGGCTCATAGGCAGAAGCTACTTGCTTTGTCTCAGATGAGACTTTGGACTTGGACTTTTGGGTTAAAGCTGGAATGAGTTAAGACTTTGGAGGACTGTTGGAAAGGTATGATTGTGTTTCAAAATGTAAGGACATGATATTTGGGAGGAGCCAGGGGTAAAATTATATAATTTGGCTGTGTTCCCATTCAAATCTCATCTTGAATTGTAGTTCCCATAATCTTCACGTGTTGTGGGAGGGACACAGTGAGAGGTAATTGAATCATGGGGGCGGTTACCCTCATGCTGTGGTTCTCATGATAGTGAGTGAGTTCTCATGGGATGTGACGGTTTTATAAGGGGCTTTTCCCCTTTTGCTTGGCACTTCTCCTTCCTACCATTCTGTGAAGGAGGGTGTGTTTGCTTCCCCTTCAACCATGATTGTAAGTTTCCTGAGGCCTCCTCAGCCCTGGTGAACTGTGAGTCAATTAAACCTCCTACCTTTATAAATTAGCCAGTCTTGGATGTGTCTTTATTAGCAGCATGAGAAGGAACTAATACATTAACCCAGGCTTGACAGCGAAAAGTCATCTCTGATGACTGCATTCAACCTTTCCCTAGCACCCACTGCTCACCCCTGCCCTCTTGCCTCATTCTGTTATCAGTCATCACCAGGCTAGACAATCATTCCTCCCTCTTTCACACCCACCTCTTCTTTTCTCATTCAGAACCTTATTTATTCATTCCAAGAACGTGGTAGTCACCTCCCAAAAGATTGCAGTCTCCTTTCTCTTTTACCCTGCATTCTGTCCAACACACCAAGAGAAACAGGAAGGTAAACAGAAAAGAAGATCTCCCTCACATTCCCTTTCCCTAGCCACACAACTCTGATCTCCAGCTTCCTGGGTATTCATTCATAGACACACTATGCCTATATATAAGTGTGTGTACACACACACACACACACTCCCCTTATTCAGGCGGATTTCATTTTAATTTACACCACAGTCTAAAGAAATCAAAAGACTCTTGCTAGGATGATTGACATCAGTCTTCAGTGTAATCCTTCATTTTAAGCAAGTTAAAAACATACACCTGTGTGTATCAGTTTTCATTCTCATCAACATTCTAGCATCATTGTGGATCTTATAATAAAAGTGAGATTCCACTGGATTTTACTATGTCACCTATTCACTCCAGAAGAAAAGATACTTACAAATACAGAATTCTTCACTGTCCTTAGGCACAAAGTTTCAAACCTGCTTCAATCTGAACAAGTTACACCCTAGGTCTGGTGAGCAACAGTTACTCTGGAGGGATCTCCCAATTCCTATGTCCATATAGTTGTCTTTCTCGATTAGCCTCCTCAAGTGGTGGTGCATATCCTTCAGTAGCTTTCTCCAATAACTTCCTGAGAAAGCATCTGTGGGAAATATACTTAAGAGTTTATTACAAATGGAAGAAATTGGGAAAGCAATGAGGAGAACCTTTCCATTGTATGTGGCAGATGAGGGCAGAAAAGAGAATAATTCACCCAACACCAAAGAGAGCCATGACCAGAACTCAGGTTCCTGATTTTCAGTCCAGAGTTCTTCCCACCCCACTGTGCCCCTCTAACCTTCCTATTAACTGGAAGAGCTGGAAAATGAGTGTCAACAGAGCATAATGAAGCAAGATTGTGGACCTCAGGTCAGGAAGACCTGACACCACTATACTTGACTATGTGACCTTAGGCTAATTACTTAATCTTTCTGATTCTCAGTTTTCTTATTTGTAAAATAGGGTTAATAATATCTACCTATCTTACAGGATCAAGGTCGATTCAAAAGATGTGGATTATACCATCTAAAAAAAAAGAGGAAATTTAAAAAAAAAAAAGAGCCCTAGCAAACAAGCAATCGG